ACATTATTGGTTCCATGTGAACACGTGTGTGTTGATGGATAGCAATGCTGTCAAGTCAAATAATGTCGAGTGCACATCATTTACCCGGTATTCTTTGGGTTTGTTGTGAACTCAAGTATTCTATTCAGTGCCAAATTTGATTGCAACCGGGAGCTTCTGGAATTAAACGTGTGCCTCTCTGTGATCACGAAAAGAAAAAGTGCGATCGTCTCTGTGGGATCTATGCAAGATCTAAGGTTGGCACGGCGTTCTCACACGCTTGATTATACAGTTTACCTAGGCGTCAATTGCAAAGAATGCGGCGTGCTCAAGGAAACACTCAAATTCATTTCATACACGAATTATACGTGAGAGATTTTGAACTTTTTCGTCGTTTGACATCCGTCGCTAGGACAAGCTCTCAATACATCGGGGGCCGCCCCAAAATCATATGCATAGCTTAGGGCTCACCCCCGACTCGAGTATGGACTGGGTACGTTATAATACTATCCGACTTGTAATTATCATTGTGTCCGCAGATTTCTTCGATGCTCGGACATATTTGTCATATGTTGATTATGATTGGCAAGTACCTTCAGGTGTGATACTACTGATTCAACATGATGACTATTCGCGCTCAGGTCACCCTTCGCTACCAACTTCTCTACCAAGTCTCTCGGTCAGCCGTGAGTCTCCCTTTTGCAGGTTCAGTAGTTTTAGGCATGGCCTTAGATACGATCGCAAGCAGTAGTTGGTAACAATTACGAAGAATTGGTGTTCCCATTATATCGAAAGGTAGCCTAACATTCATAAACCTTTGGATCAATGTCTGGAAGTCAGGACACCGACCGCCGACGGTTTGAAGTCGCAGTGAGCTTCCTTCTCTCTGGTATCTATCACCGCTATGCTTGTGCTGATTGTGTGTAAGCGTGCTTTGCAGATTTGAAACAACTGTTTGGGGTCCTTGGAGGAGCATATGCCATGGAACTGCCAATACTACAAAACCTGCTTCGTATTCACGACTCCCTGGACTCCCCAGATTCACCCGGGTCCTGAGTCGGGGCCTAAGTTGCGTTTCACTGCCGGTCGCCGCTGACGAGTGCGAGTTAACTCGCTCCGACTGACTTGTCGCAGGTTTCAGTGGCTAATTGAAGTCAAACTATATAGTACTGCAACTGGAAGCCAAACTACCCAGCCGCTCAACAAACCCTACACGCCTGGCAACCTCTACTGGACTGAGATAGAAGGACTCAGTAATCACGTTAGCTGGCCAGCTACAAAATTACGACACCCCAAAACAGGACTCATTAGCGATAGACGTTGAACTTAAGATAAACCGAAATTTGCATTGGCCACACGAGGGGATGTGCAGATCTAGGGATACGCGCCAATACATAGGCGCTGCATTCGAGTCCAGACCTAGCAAACAAAATAAAGTGCATAAGACTGGAAAACAAAAGCAAAACTTCGATGAACTGGGCACGGCCCGGGGTGCAAAGCCAGCCCGGGGCCGGACGGGCTGACTTCCGCACCGTGACTAGTACGCCCGCGCCCGTGCGACCCGGGGCCGACTTACCTACTCTATAAGTTTAGGCAGGTGAGTTGCGTGGCTCGGGTTCGGGACACTTCCTAGCATCCATGGGTGAGATTGCCCCAGGGGCCGGGCCTCACGCTAACCCTAGCTTTCCCAGCGCCTGCGCCAGGGGGTCGCCGTCCGGTTTAAAGTGTTAGCCTGCTAAGCGAATTTTCTGAAGCTCCGCCGTAGTGAGCTAAACTACCATGTAACGAAGGTAAAGAGTCTTGGGTCAGGATTAGCGCTGTCCAGGACCGACCGAAACCGCCGCCGCCGGCGGTCCCCGCGGGACCGCCCGGGGACCGCCGCGGGACCGCCGGCGGGACCGCCCGCCGAGGACCGCCGCGCTGCTGCGCCGGCGGTCCCGCGGACCTCGCCCCGGCGGTCCCACGGCCGGTCCCCGGGCGGCCCCCGGGCGGTCCCAGCGGGCGATCCCCGGCCGGTCCCCAGTATAAGGACGCCCTCTTTATGGTGAGGGGCCCAAACTAGAGCGCGCCGAATTTCCCGCGGGCGCAGCGAGGCCTATGTTTGAAGTTAAGATCCTTGCATCCGGGCAATGCCTGAGCTCTCGACAGTCCGACGTCCGCGACAGTCTGCGTGGAATCCACAACGTCACGGTCAGGGCCCAAGCCAAGCTACGGGGCCATGACCAGATCAGGGGGGGCGCTCCTCCTCCATTAGCGGCGCGCGGTCCGCACCATGGCGCTGATTCCGTCTAAGGACAAATCCCGCACGCTGGACACGTTGGCGGTACCCGTTTGCTCCGACAAGACCGCGTTCGCGCAGCGCGTCGCATACTCGCGCGCGCGCGGGATAGTGCCAAACGAGTAGCCGGGCCAGGATTTGCGCCATCGACGTCGTTGGATACGGCCTCTTCGTTCCCCGGCGCTCTGGCTACGTGGTTGTCTGGGATGCCCGACGCGGTAAAAACCCCCTGCTGTCTTCTAATTTCCCCGGCGCTCAGCAAGTGCGAGGATTTGGCCGTGGTTGAGGGCAACGAGGCGTAAAGCGGGGATTGGCTGAGGGGCTCGGAGAGCCGGTTTCGGCGCGCGTCGTCGCTTCGTGCACGCCGCTCTGGGCTTTGGCGCTGGCGACGAGGCCCTGACACCCCTGGACGTCCTCGAAGCTGCTTTGAACGCGGATCTCGAGCGTGTCGACGAACGTCTGGCCGTTACAAGGGCGTCTACCGTCTGCGGCAGTGCTTCGAGCGCCGCTCAGACGGCCCCAACGCTGCGCCAGGCGTAGCCCGTCGAGTGCGACGCTTGTCTAGTATCTCCTGGCGTGTCGGACCGCGACGCGGCGCCGCGGAGCGACCGGAATTGTTCGGGACCTTGTGAAAACGCTCCGGAACTACCGAAAGACGTCTTTGAGCGGCATCGGGTCGACGAACACGCCGGCCGTGCTGGTGTTTGACGTGTCAGGCAGCGCCGACGCACCAATTGACTCGATCGGACGCGCAAACGCGGTCATCGAGGTCGACTGACGCCCCACAGGGCCCCGAGACCTGATTCGGCCGGTGCGGCCGGTGGACGCGGGCGAGCCATGGGGACGCGCCACGGGTCACCATGGCGTCGCTGTGGCGCGTTTTGAGCTTCGGGCGTCTGCACTAGACTAGTGGGGCCCGGGGGCGCCGGGGGCGCCGCCGGGCCTGGTCGGTTTTCTATATGAGGGATGGTGCCCCCCCTGATCTGGTCATGGCCCTACGTCGAAGTTTTCGCTTTCAAGCCAGGAAATCTCCACGACAATTGTGATTTGCCGTGCCCACATGTCCAACCGGTAAAGGCCAGTCCTTCCAGCAAGGGAAGGAGCACGCCGCTCACGTAACCAGAAAATTATCCCTTAATGACGGCAATAGGCCGGAGTTTGAGTGCCTTGTTGGATATTCCAGCACAGTCGCAAGTCTCAACAACAGAATTGACATCTTTGTAAGCTTCTGGAGCCTCTTCCATTACCAGCTTAGGGGAAGCGATCCGAATCGATATGCCCTTCTTATCAAGGTCGGCTAGGACATCTTCATAGGCCAAGGTGCGTCTTGTCTTGTTGCGAGAAGAAGCACGGCCTGCCCCGTGGCAGGTGGAACCAAACGTTCGCGCCATGCCACGCTCGGTCCCAGTGAGAATGTAGGAGCAGGTGCCCATAGTACCACCGACAAGTACTGGCTGACCAGTAAATTGATAGTCAACGGGGACGAGAGGATGGTTTGGGGGAAACGCACGCGTTGCTCCCTTGCGATGAACCAGCAGCGTCCGAAGTTTTCCATCGACAAAGTGTTCCTCTGTTTTGGCAATATTGTGAGAAACATCGTAGACAACCTGCATATCGAGGTCATCAGGAGTCGATCCAAATTGCTTGGCAAAGGCCTGGCGAGCAAGGAAAGTCATGGATGAGCGATTGACCCAGGCGTAGTTTGCAGCTGCGGCCATGGCTCCGAGATAATCTTTTCCCTCGTCAGAATTTATGCGTGCACAAGCGAGCTGCCGGTCGTTGGTTACCAAACCTACATCACGCTCCATGGCGCGTTCCATGGCAAGTAGCGCGTCCGTCGCCACCTGGTGGCCAAGACCACGAGAACCAGAATGAATCATTATTGCGACTTGTCCCACCATACCAAGACCCATGCGATTGGCGGCGTGCATGTCGTAAACCTCATCTACAACTTGGATTTCGACATAATGATTCCCAGCTCCCAATGTACCCATCTGCGGAAGTCCACGCTTCTTTGCACGTCTCGACACTTTGGTTGGGTCCGCTTGCAGCATACGCCCGGCCTCCTCACAGTGGTCCTTGTCCTCAGCCCAAGAGTAACCTTCGCGTATGCTCCAGTCCATGCCCATATTTAATGCAGCATCTAAGTGCGCAGATGACGTTGGAATGACACCTCTACTGCCAACACCCACAGGAATGTGGTCGAAGAGGCTTTGTGCCAGCGACTCCTTGTTTTCGGACACATCTCCTTCGGTCAAATTTGTCCGGAGCAACCTCACACCACAGTTTATATCAAACCCAACACCCCCAGGAGATACTACTGCCTCGGAGTCACCACAGTCGAAAGCCGCCACATTACCAATTGCGAATCCATAACCACTATGAATGTCCGGTAGCCCCACAGACTCGCCCACTATACCAGGTAGGGTGGCCACATTCGCAAGTTGCTTGATTGCCGGTAGAAAACCGCCGTAGCCTGACGAATCACTGTGATGTCGAAGCTCGTCAAAAACAAGTGACTCCAACGCAGAATTTACGAAAAAAACGCCCGGCACGCGCATACCGGGCACAAAGCCCTTCGCAATTGACCACGACTGTTCATCGCGACGTTTCAGATACCGCATCTCCGCGTCGAACGTCCGCGGTGATATCTGCATGGCTTCGGACTGCGTGGATCCGACGAGAGACTATGAATTTGCGAGGCGGCGTGGGCTTCGCAAAATTGCTTCTATGACGCCTGATCTAGGGCTTCAATTCATTTTAATTGTGGCTGATCAGCTGTGGATGCAAAAGCGCGTTGTCGCAGTGGACAAGATGAGATTGCGGTGCGCGCAGCGTGCGCCTGGCCGGGTCAATCTTTTGAGTTCTTCGCGGGCCACGATCTCATAGATTAAAATTTTAGATCGAATTTGGCTGTGCCGCCCAGGAACGCCTCCAGGACAGGACAGAGAGCCCCGATCCGAGATTAGTCTGCCTGCTTGAGTAGGTAGTCTACTAACTAACTATTACCATGCCCTAGTCAGGAGTCAGGCTGGGGGTAAAATACCTCCATGAGCACGTACTGGAACGGCCTCCCAAGTGTACCCCCACCGGGAGCAACGTGCTTCCGGAACCGAAAGCGGGTCCTGCCCACACCCCAGGGACCCCATGGGCCCGACGGACGCAACGGGGGCCCCAGGGGGGACGCCACAGAATCAATGGAACCCCGGGGGGTAGATCGCGAACGGAGCCAGAACTAAGCCTTCAACGCTTACTTTTGCTCACGTGCCCTCGATCACAACTTCGGGGCAGCAATGGTTCTCTCGTCTTCTCAGGCCCGCAACTCCGCGAAAATGCAGCGAAGCGCAACGACCACAGTGGCTTTGTGGACCGCATGGGCGCGGAGCATCCGCAGGCGAAAACGCGACCGCCGGGTGATTGCGTGGCGCCTCAAACAGGAGGTTTAGGGGCTGGGATGACGCGCGCTCAGCTCCCCCGACGATCTCTGGCTAAGTTTTTAGCCTATGCAGCACCGGAAATCGTTCGGTGTCACCCCAGCATCGTCTCGTTTAATTTCGATACATAATTTTTGTTTGAAGCCTCGGACAGAAGAATCTGAAATCGTCTATTATCAATGACTAGAACAAGTCCCCCTTCTTACTAACCGCGCACGATGTCGACTAATAATTAGCAACGGCATAATACTTGTAACTATCCCGCGATGTCACTTTCTGACAGAATTGTTGGCGTTGACGTAGCCCATGAATCTCTTCGAGACCATAACTTGTATTTTGCGGATTAGTTGGCGTACTGATACGAAGTGAATTAGGTGTAATATACAAAAACGATATTTTGACTTTTTGCGGAACTTTCGCGCAGGGGCTGCATACAAGCAAAGCTCGGTGTGATAATTAGAAACCCATCAGAAACACGTATATCAGGTATCGTGAGGCCTTGATGCATCAGTATCGGTCTGCCCAGTGCCCAGTGTGCAATTTTGAACTACTTTGAGAACTCACTAAATAGGCGTCGAGAACTCGCTATTACTGTGGAACTCTCTGATTTTGCTACATTCGACCATGAGCTATTGACAATTTTCCAATGCCAGCCTAGCGAGCAGCTACGTCTCATGGAAGCTGCGGCACATGATGCACTGAAGAAATCTATGCTAGAAAATCAAGAAGGTAGGACCAGCAGGCTTTTCTGCCGAGTGTTGCACCTGATATTTTGTTCTAGGTCGCGTTTTGAGTTCTATTCAGATATTGTTAAAGTCACAAACACAGTCGGTGATCGCACTCCGTTCGCTCATCGCGGAACACATAGGGAAGCTTGTGAAAGTGTCTGGTATCATCGTGAGTACTCTGCGGCGCCGGTGAAGCTCTTCAATTCAGCTCGGGGATGAGTCATCAACCAATAGGTGCATCCAAGGTCAAATCAAAAGCCACTAGAATTCATTTTCAGTTCGTTCACTGGACCTCGCGTGCGTAGTTATGACTAGACCGCCTAATCCTAGGTGTGTCAAGTGTGGAAGGCATAAAGTAGTAATTTGCGAAGGGGACTTCACCGCATCCATGATACCACAACGCTGTGACGTGAGTCCCGCGGAAGCAACCGGCACAGAGAAGTTCGACTGTGGTCAATCTCCTTATGAGATCATCCCAGACAAATGCTCGTGAGTCGAGCTCTGTCAAATGGTATAGGTATGAATGTTCAGATGGTATAGGTATGTGGATCAGCAAACTCTCAAGCTGCAAGAAGTACCCGAGGCTGTGCCCACGGGTGAGATGCCAAGGTCAGTCACCTTGACGGTGGAACGAGGTCTGGTGGACTTTGTTTCGCCTGGAGCAAGAATTTCAGTGCTGGGCGTGTACTCTCTCTTTGACCGATCAGACAATCCGAGGAGCTCCGAAGTGACCATAGCGGCCATCCGCATTCCTTATGTCAAGGTTGTAGGAATTGAGGCTGACACAAGTGGGCATAGGAAAGAGCAGCGTTTTACGCCTAGAGAGGAAGAGATTTTTGCTACTCTTTCGCGACGAGCGGACATCCACCACCTACTTGCGACATCTATAGCACCGAGCATTCAAGGTGAGTATACGTCTGATGTCAAGAAGGCATTGGCTTGTCAGCTCATTGGGGGGTGTAAAAAGACGTTACCTGATGGTACCAAGCTCCGTGGGGACATCAATATCTTGCTCCTTGGCGACCCGTCGACAGCTAAGTCCCAGTTTTTGAAATTTGTCCAGAAAGTGGCCCCCGTGGGGGTGTACACGTCCGGCAAAGGATCCTCGGCAGCTGGGTTGACTGCGTCAGTGATTCGTGATAGGAATAAAGAATTTTTCCTTGAAGGTGGCGCCATGGTGTTGGCAGATGGTGGGATATGTTGCATCGATGAATTTGATAAAATGCGTGAAGCAGACCGTGTGGCTATTCACGAGGCAATGGAGCAGCAAACAATATCAATCGCCAAGGCAGGAATCACTACTGTGTTGAATTCACGCACATCTGTGCTTGCGGCGGCGAACCCAATTTTCGGTCGATACGATGATCTACGTTCGACCGCAGAAAACATTGATATGATGTCTACTATCCTTTCGCGCTTTGATTGCATTTTTATTGTCCGTGATATCCGCGACGAGTCTCGCGATATTTTCATTGCCAAGCACGTCATGGGAGTTCACATGAAGGCATCTGACTCAGCGAGAGTCAACGACGCCCCGGAAGTGACCGCAGGCCAATCCTCCCATGAACATTTGCAAAATCTTGAGCTGAGCATGCTTAGAGACTATATTTCGTTCTGTCGATCCAGGTGCTCACCACGATTGGATGAGGAGACTTCAGTGCGCACACCTAGTGACTATTGCCAAATTGATACGAGAATTTTTACTTTGTCTGTTCAGGCACTCCTTGCGTCAGAATATGTATTGATCCGCTCAGCTATCAAACAAAGGGCGGAGGAAGCTGGCGGACCTAGGCAGCTGGCAGTTTAAAGCAGCTGTGCCATATGATTAGTTGGTTGTATGACCAGTTGAGGTCTTTCGGATGTAGGTTCCTATCACTATTCGGCAACTGGAAGCTCTTGTGAGGCTCGCGGAGTCACTTGCGAAGATGCGGCTGAATTCGAAGGTTGATGTTGCCGATGTATATGAGGCGCTGCGGCTCTTCAAAATGTCGACGATGACAGCCGCATCAGTCGCTTCACCTGCCAGCGGGGCGGAGATGCGATTTCTAGCTGATGACGAGCGTGCTCAGATTCAAAATGCTGAGCAGTTTGTCAAACAGCGTGTTCCCATTGGTGCTGATGCGAGCACAATGCGACTTCTGGAAGAGGGCATAGTCCTCGGTCATAGTGATTTTGCGCTGCGGCGTGCATTGAATATTATGAACCAGCGTACAGAGCTCTCGGAGCTCAGTCAAGGGCGGCGTGTCCGCCGGCTCCGCTAGTTGCCCTGGGATTCGCCCTGCCTCGCATTGTGCTGCTGTTGCTGTGTGTTTACAGGTGCATGGGGTAATGGCGATCTGCAGCAATACAGCCGCATATGCAGCAGTTGAAATGCACCGGTCGGGACGTGATATAAATTTCCATTTCGGCCCTCTCACTCTCTAGTCATACCGAAACGTAGCCTCGGGTGGGGCCTAG